ATTCATTCATGACGAGCCTTTATATGCACTCTCGGGTATGAACCCTTCATTACCCATACTTGGTGCCTAAAAGCAGCTCATCCCACCTAGATACATACTCATCCGACGGTGATCCAGAAAACCCCAGATCCAAAAGGTATACCGCACGCTGAGCCTCCCATAGGAACATGTGCACATTGCAGGGAATCCTTAATTCAAATCAGTCCACTTTGGGAAACCCATCGTTAGCTCATCTGTCAATAAACGTCATCTTCATGAACTCAAGTCACACTACTCACGTTTTCTGGGGCGGTCGTAAGTTCCTCATAAGACTGCAAAATCTCAAATCCCATCGCCATGACATGTTCGTAAGCGTCGTCTTGCACCTGCGCACATGAGATCGTCAGTAAAGTCCCAACACGCAGCAAATCATATCAGATGGTGAGGAGGGTGACAAAAGCTTACCCAGCTAAGCACCGTCTTGGCCGACTTGTGCGCCTTGTTCTGCCGGACGCCCATCAAAGTAAGCCCCTGAAGTACAAGCGTATCCTGCGGTCCGGGATGAATCACGGGCGCCAAAACGCCACCGATGCCCTCGTCGACGGCAGAAAGCAAGGGCGGGATATACGTCGACAGCGGACTCCCCGGCCGACAGATAATGATCGTTCCCAGCAGCGCGTCGCCCGCGCCCTTTGCCCTCACGATGCCGCACGCTTTCGTCTCCTGCAGCGCGGACCGGTACAGCTCCAGCACCTCGGGGTTGGCGTTGGCAGCCACGTGGCCTAGCACGCTCTCGGCGTTGTCGAGGCCGTGGATGAGGTCGAAGCTGAGGTTGGCGCGCTGGATGCTCTGCAGCAGGCCCTCGGGGATCGCCCAGCCGCTCAGGTCGTGGATGGCGAGGTTCGTGAGGCGCTTCGGGAATTGTACGTCCCAGCCGTTGTTGGCGAACCAGCTCTTGACGCCACCGCCCTCGTCGATAGGGATGCCAAGGAAGACGCCCGGAAAGGAAGTTCCTAGCTGGATCTTCTTCACGGCCCGCTGGTTGTTGGTCAGGAGGTGCCGCAGCGCTCGCCTGTGGAGGGACCGGCCGACGGAGACGTTACGCTTGGTGGGGTCCACGAAGATGGCGCCGAGAATGCCGATGCCGTCTACAAAATACGTCGCAGCGAAGCCGTACAGGGCGTGTGTGCTGCTGTTCCGGACGACAAAGTGCGCCTCCTCGACGTTTGGCTTCGAGAGCTCGAAGCACGCGGCCGGCATCGACTCCAGATGGCCCAGGTCGACGGCGTTGGCGCGGGCGACGGCCTTTGTGAGCTCCTCGAGGCCGTGGGCATCGCGGCGGCGGTCGTACTCCTCCACGATCCAGTGCTGGCGCGACTTGAGCACCTTTTTGCTCTTTCGTAGTGTCCCTGGAAGAGTTCCCTTTGGTACAATGTGCCCGCAGAGAGCGCGTACTAACGCGTGCATCGCGGTTTCTGTAAAGTCGAAGGTGCAGATGTATGTACCGATGGACTTATCCATGGCAAAGTCGTACGGAGAGCTTACGGCCACGACGATGACAGATTTCTTCTGGCCACGGGTTCGTAGCATGGAACACATCATCTCGACGTGTTTGGTGAAGCCGGCTTGGTACAGGTTTCTGTTGGCGTCCGCGGTGATGATGATGATGCAGGATGCTCTGTGAATGAGATTTTCATGGACTTGATGTCAATCGAGTCAGCCCGCCCACATCATTCGTCGTCTTGAAGGGCTACGTACCTGGCCTGACTCCATTCGCAGTGTAGCTGGTATGGAGGAGCTTTCCGTGACGGGACCGAGCTAGAGAGCGTCCAAATTCCCTAAAGACACCCTCCCCACTCATGATGGCACCCTTTTCGCGGTGTAGCCAAGTATCGTGTGGTGTAGGAGCAAGCCTCTGGGCATCCTTCGCTTGAAGGATACTCTTGGTCAAGCTTGACGCTGGTAGTGGTTTCACTAATGGTGTGAGAAGGAGCAGCTCTTCTTCTTGGTGCATCGACTCGGATAGGGGTAACAGCTTTTCCTTGTCTCGAATGACCGTGATGGAATCATCGTATGATTTCCTCGCTAAAGCCATATGCGAGGGATGCAACTTGGACAAGAGTGATATGCCTGGTGGGTTAAGTGCTGTCTGCCAAGATGTGCAAGTGTCCTTGAGTCGTAGCACGCGGTTCAGAGACGTGTAGATCCGTTCCTTGGTGAAGATGCCGTTCTCGACACCTAGCTTGAGCCCCTTGATAGCTTCAAGCTGGACGTCATAGGCTCGGCAAAGAAGTACCAAGTCACATCCAGCCTCCACGGCCATAACAACTCCATTCTGTACACCGAGCTCGTGGGTCAGAGACTCCATTTCGAGACATTCTGAGATGGCGACACCGTCAAAACCGAGTTCCTCTCGAAGAAGATCGTCCACAACTTGATTGGATAAGCACGCGTGGGATACGTTCATGGAGGGGTTGGAGATGCCACAACCTCCCACGAACATGGCATCAAGCTTGCCCGTTGCTATTGCGTTCCGGAAAGGCACGAGGGCACTCAGACTGAGCTCTTCCAGAGTCTGTGTGATGATGGGAACGTCCAAGCTGGATCCCAAGAAGTCAAGGTTTCCATAGGACGGGAAATGCTTCCCGCAACTTGCGAGACCGGCATCGCGAATGCCGTTGATGGCGGCGATGCCGTACTGAGAGACCTCCTGAGGGTCATCGCCGGTGGCACGTACTCCGATAGGTTGATACCTAGCATTCGAGAGGACATCCAACACCGGGCCGAGCATGAAGTTGATGCCGCAGGCGCCGACCTCGGTAGCAGTAGCTTTTGACACTTCGTAGGCTAGTTCGACCCGGCCTGTGGCGGCGATGCCCATGGCACTGGGGAACTGGCACACATAGTCCTCGTCGAAGAGACTGTTGACACCGCCATTCTCTTGGTCAAGGGCAATGAGCAGTGGCTTGGGGTGGCCGGCCTTGTGTGCAATAGTCTGGAGTTCCTTGACTAACTTTGCCGTTTCTTGAGCAGCTACCCCATGGTATTAGCACACAATTCACGAGCTGTCGATATCAACAGAACTGATCAACAGCGCAAAGGGTACCGACATTTGAGGTTCTTGGCAGTCAAGATGATAGTCCCTAGGTGATGATCTTCAATTAGAGAACGGATCTGGGGCGTCACCTCAGTGCCATCCCAGCCCATGATGAGCATTTGGCCAATGGCCCTGTACGGCGCAACAGCATAGGCACGTCAGCAAGGAGCGAATCGGAAAGGAGCTAGGCGACTGGCATCATTGTGTTGGCCCTACTTCCAGATGCGATGCCGTAAATGGAACGAGGTAAAGGAACAAGACAAGGGCCCATGTGCGCAATTCGGCCATGAGATGAGGTGGAGGGCGGGTCGAGTCTGAAGGGAAGGAGAATATACTGCGTAGGTAAGGAACAGATGAACGTACCAATCGAGATCCTGCCATAGTGGGTCGAGCTCCTTGACTTGCCCCATAGCTAGTGGTCTGCGGCTCGTCACGTTTTGCCGCGCATAGTACCTCTCGAGATGGCGTGGTTTGAACGGGGTGAGGTGGTGTTGGCGTTGGCGGGTGTTGTTGTGGTGGTGGTGGTGGTGGCGGCGACCGTTCTCCGAGGTTGACGTTGACTTTGAAGTTGACGTTGATTCCCGGTTGCTGGACGGATGTGACCCGGAGCCGTCGCGCGGGACGAAGGAAGAGGAGAAGGAAGACGCGGCGGGCTGGGAGTGGGACGCCATGGGCGGCGGGAGCGGTAGGCTGCTGCACCAGCCACGACCGACAATCATTGGCTGGGGAGGAGAGCGGAAGGAGGGTGGGAAAGAAGATTGATTGGCTGATAGGAGCCGTGTCCGCCTTTGCCCGCACTTTGCCCGACCGGGGAAAGGACGTTTCTTATCGCGATAAAGAGGGTGGGGCGCCGTCCGTACCGGATCCACCCACTTTTTCGGAGGTGGGACGTGTGTTTGGTGTGGGGTACGTACCCAAAGACCAAAGCTCCATTTCCAATGTTAGCGTCTGTCTCTCTCTGATCTTCGGCCTTGACAACGGAACGTTACATGGAGCCTCACCACGTCAAACCTTCTTTTCTTTCCCTTCCGTTGCCCCGTCTAGACCGAGTCTGTCACTCCTGTGTCTCTTTAGGCTCTCTCCGGCTCCCACACATGCAACGCTCGTTGCTTTTGGGGATTGTCTTCTCCAAACGTGAATGTCAACGGCCCCAAAGGTCCCCGTCCCTGACACAATGTGTGGGGCCCGGGTAACTTCGTACCCCTCCGATTCTGGAACCTGGGAAGCAAAGCAGATGGTGAATGATGATGCGTTGCAACTTGCGCCGTGTGCTTGGGTGCTTTGCAGTGAAACAAGACCTCCCAGAAACGAATCGTCTCTACCATGTGGACCAGCCGTTGGTCAAGTACTTTTCTCTGACTCGGAGGGCACATGGCAGTGCAACCGGCACCGGTGCCATCGGCCTCTTATTGCGTATCTCTTGATCTCCGACCCCTCCATGAACCAAACCCCACCAAAAGGCACGTTTGATGCCTTTGCCAAACACATACACACCTACCTACCTTACGGAGTACACACACACCCGTGACCCAAATCTCCGTCCTATCTCATACCACCATGTGTGATGCCTATCTAGCTGCAACTGTGAGGGGCCATGACGATGTGTCCAACACTTTGGACGACCATGAGACTTTCCACGTAGGCCGGGCCATGCCGGTCCCCCCCAATGGTGAATTCGCCGCCGCCGGTCTCCAGCAAAAGTAAGCAAGCGCACCTGGCTGTTGCTGGTGAATAATACTCGAATCAGTCCTTCAAAGCCGCTCTGTTTCGCATTTTCTTTTCTTCATGGCGTCGTTACTGAAGTGCAACCCAAAGTCAACCCTCCACCAATCCGGAAGCACCTAAACCTCAACTTCAACCTCATCCCTCACCACCCAGTCTAAGATACACACATACCTACACGAAACACGTACAACACCCCATAATGCCCATCGCCATCCCAAAGACGCCAAAGAATGGCATCACGAAATTCACAAACTGCCGTCTCGTAAAGGGCGACGCTCTCGTATCAGAAGACATCTGGGTCAGCTCCGTCACGGGCAAGATCATCCACAGCCAGGCCGCCTTCTTCGACGACCTCTGCCTCCCGGATGAGACCATCAACTTGGGCGGCCGCATCGTGTCGGCCGGCATGATTGACTGCCAGCTCAACGGCGCCTTCGGCTTCAACTTTTCCACGCTGCTCGAGGACATGACGCAATACGGCAAAAAGGTCCGGGAGTTGAACAGGAAACTCGTGTCTACGGGCGTTACGTCCTACGTTCCGACACTCACTAGCCAAAAGCCAGAGCTCTATCAGGGGGTGAGTGAGACATCGTCCACATGATAATTGACGTGGATGCTAAGTGCTTTAAATATGCAGGCCTTGCCGTATCTTGGAGCATCAGGAGGTTTACAAGCAGCCCACGACGGAGCCGAATCGCTCGGCGCGCACGTAGAGGGCCCGTTCCTGAACCCCACCAAGAACGGCATTCACAACGTCGACGTCCTGCAGCAGGCAGAGACCTTTGACGACCTGGTCCGATGCTACGGCGCCGACAACATCGAGCCCAGCGCGGCCAACGGCGGCGTCATCCCGATTAAGATGATCACGGCGGCGCCGGAGCGGGGCAACATGACCAAGATTATCCCTGAGCTGCGGGAACGGGGCATCATCTACTCCATCGGCCACTCGGAGGCGACGTACGAGGACGCGTCGGCCGCCGTGGCAGCGGGTGCGACGATGATTACGCACTTGTTCAACGCCATGCGCCCCCTTCACCACCGTAACCCGGGCGTGTTTGGCGTGTTGGGACTGGCGGAGAGCTTGGCGCGGCCGTATTTTGGGATTATCTCTGATGGTATCCATCTTCATCCGACGACGATCAAGATTGCGTTCAATGCGCATCCTGATGGATTTATTTTGGTGACGGACGCTATGCATATGATGGGCCTTGCGGATGGGTCGTATCAGTGGGTCAATGGACAAGATGTGAATAACATCATCAAGGTCGGCTCTACGCTGTTGCTGGAGGGCACCGATACGATTGCTGGAAGGTGAGAGAGACACATCAATGGTTCGAGGCGACGTCTTTGACAGATACGGAACTAACAGCTCGATAGTGCCGTCACACTGATGGAATGCGTCAACAACTTCCTTCGGTGGTCTGGTACAGGGATTCCCAAGGCATTGAAGGCCGTCACGGCAACGCCCGCGGCGATGCTCGGTCTTCAAGGCGTCAAGGGGTCATTGGAAGACGGGGCGGATGCCGACTTGGTCATCTTCTCTGAAGAGACCAGAGAGGGCGCCACGCAGTTGGTGGTAGACGAGGTTTGGAAGTCTGGGGCGTTGGTGTCGAGCAGAAAGGACGATCAATCGCCGATTACGCCATAGAATGACGAATTGTAGGGAAATACACGAGTCAAAAATCTGGAGATACGTACGAAGACAGGGAAGAAAGATGGCAAGAGAAGAGAGAAGGACAGGGTCGAGCCCTCACAATAGACTGTATACTCATAGAACTGCCATCCGAACTTGAAGGTGTAAGTGGATGCGCAGATAAAGTTTCCAAGATGGCTGGAGATGGTTACTGGTAACACCAAGTGCCTTATTGGGTAGGGTAGAGGGGGCTTCGCTTAGTCCTCGCCAGAGTTTGGTTGATTGTGTGCTAGAGGATGGTTGCACAACACCCAAGTAAATTAGGTAGACGCCGATGTTCGGCCATAAATTACAAAATTTCCTAATGATGATAAACGAGGTTGATTGTCGGTTGATGAGTGAGAGAAAGAGTAGGGTGCTTCTGTACAGTGACAAGAACTGTGTTGCGGGAACCATCGGCCCATTAAAGTACTCGCTTGCGGTACTGTACAGAGTGCGTAACAGCCCGCAGAGGCATCCTTGAAGCTCCCCGCATCTTGGTGCCGTGACTTTAATTCCCTGCCTCCACAGTGCGATAACAGCCAGCCAATGACGGTACACGGGTGTTCTGATAGGGGTGGACACTGCGCAGGTGCTCTCCTTCCCTCTTTCTCGCGCGCTTCGACTCCACGCCTTCTCTCTCTCCAGAAGCCGAAGCATTGGAGAGAGCCCTCCGCTTTTGTATTTCCCATTGACACTCGTTAATGTAGGCCACCAGCGCCAACCACCCCCACGTCCCTTGACTTGTTTGTCCTTGTCCCAGTGGTCGCGGGCAATCCTTTTGCTCGAATCGACAGAGCTCTTTTTTCTAGAAACTTTCCATCCGGCAGTACTCGACACTACCTTGGACCAGGGCAGCGAAACCCCCAGACAACCTCCCCCACCCGGCCAGGCGTACGCAGCTGCGCGCATCGTCGGCACGGCGCTCGCTACACAAGTCCTACTACCATGCTATGGCTGCGTTCCATTCATTGTCGTCCGGCGCGACGCCCGGCGACGGCATGAGCCTCAATAGCGCCGTGGTCGATGGTATAGACTCTTCCATTTTTGACGATTCACTGCTGTAAGTGCTCTTCCCGTTTCATTCGGCACTTGGCGAGGCTGGTAAGACGCAGCGAAGTCAGCTCCTCCCGTCTCGCCAGCACCCGATCGCAACCATGAGACGAAAGTCAATTTGGCTAACACACGTCTCGCCTCCTCTCCTGCAGAGATACTGTCAATGGCACTTTCCCCACGTTACCCTTCACGCCCACCTACGGCTTCGAAGACTTCTCCGCCACCGGCTTCGAAGACCCCTTTGCATACTCAAATCGCCAATACGAAGCACCACCCGCTCCCGAAGACTTCAACCAAGACTCGCCCACGCAGGAGCTAGATAATAAGTTGCTCGGCTTTTCGGCCCCGACGCTGAAGGCGACGCTCTTGGACGGTACGGGCCAACATGTAGAACCCACCATGACGGCCGAGCTGTACGGCATGTTCTTCGTCGCCGAGGACGTCTTTGGCGCCGAGAACAGCGGCCGGCCTCTCGAGCTGACGTGCTACCGGCGAAACCTGTGGCAGTGCTCTGGCCAGGTAACCATACCGCGACACATTACCCACGTGGTGGACGAGCAGGGCCGACAGATGCCCCTATTCGAGCTGTCCGCCTCCATAACCGCCATCGAGTCCATCGAGGGCAAGGTCACAGAAATCATATCAATACCCTGGAAGAGCGCGCATCCCATAGGCGCCGAAGAACCAAAGTCCAACGGCGGACCGCCCAACATTGTCTTGGACCTGGCCAACGGGCAAGAGGTGGACGCAAACCGGATTTCCCTGCCGTTATCGTGGAAGAGGCTACAGTTCAAGCACGCAACGGCGAATAACGGACGGAGGAAGGGCCTTCAGCAACACTACATTGTGGAAATCAGCTTGGTCGGCAAGCTACAGTCGGGTGAATACATCAAGATTGCCGAAACCCACTCCGGCCCCGTCATCGTCAGAGGCCGCAGCCCGAGGAATTTCGACAGCCGGAAGGACATTCCCCTGACAGGTGGAGATAAGAAGGTTGGCGGGAGGAGCAACAGCGACGCTACCGCTGCGACGCCTCAGAAGGAGAATGGCGGCAACAGTGGCATTCCTACGCCGATACCCAAATATCAAAATGTTGGAAACGTCCAACAACCAGCAGACTGGGCGCCGCCGCAACTATATCGTGAGTCGAGCGGGGGTCAGCCGCCAGCCAAGAAGCTCGCCATGTCACCGGGTATCAACAGACCACCCATACCGGCATGGTCTACAGAACCCTCGAGAAGCCTGGGCAGGGCATCGGCATCCATCTCGGCTCCGCGCGGTGCCATTTCCGGCCCGATCAACCTATCGCTTTCAGAAGATGAGAGGAGTCCGAATAGGTCAAATTCGGACGTGCAGAGCCCGCAGTTCACCAAATCGACGGCGGCTGCGGGCCACAACCCGAGCCAGAGTCCCAAGGAAGAGGACGATCTACTATACGAATACTTTCCGCTTAGCGTCGACGACTGGTAAGGAACCTTCGAGTTCAGTAGCACTGCACGCGCTAACATGTCAAACAGGATGCCGCCAGTCGAGGCAATCTATCGCCCCCACGTAGTCCACCACACCATTGTACCGCCGGAAATCAAGGCACAGCAGCTCCGGAGCAAGGCAAAGAGATACTTCACCGCCGAATCGTAGGGTTTTATATATGGGAGCATATCTGATACGAATTGACGAAAGCCGCATTTGTGTTTGTTCTTTTTGTTTTTACCCATTCCTCTGTTTGGTTTCCTCCATTTTTGGTTGTGTATTATACGGTAATTATTACATGGAACTGCCATTCTACCGGGACGGCAGAGAATGGTTGGGGAGAGGGGCGGGCGGTTAAATGGCAAATTAGGTCTGATGCGGTTATACCCGAGTTGTAGGTGACAGAGACTCAAATACAGAACGATGATTACAGTCGGTCCAGCTTCTTTTCTGAAGGTCGAGTTTCCTTTCGTCGTATTGCGTGCAATACAGTATTTAACACATCACAACTCCCAAGGATGCTGTACAGTACGATACTGTACGAAAGTTTCTCGAAATATTTTTTTCTTTCTTTCTCAATTCTTCAAGTTTCTGAGTCCAACTACAAGACGAGCCCTGCTCTTTCTCAGATCCCTAATGCACCATCCAAGCGGACGTCAACCCCCATCTCAGGAGTTGTTTACTTCCTTATACAAAAGTTTCCTCTTTCCATACTACCAAAGTCATAAATCCCAGTCTCATGAAGTGTTTTATCTTTTTTTTGCCTTCCCTTTATTTGGCCGTGGTCTACTATGCTACATTCTGTTTAGGCCTTCTCCATACTAAAAAAAAAACCCTTCTCCTTTCCTACCGCAATGCGTCTTCAAATGGCATCTAGCGAGTGTAAAAAGATATCAATATGCTTACAAAAATCTCAGATTGAATAGAAAAGAAAAGAAAGACGAAAGAAGAGGAGCTGATCTCCGTCTTTCTCAAGCACCAACGGCATTGACCCTCGACATCATCTGCTGCTCCGGATTCGGCGTCAGCCGCCTCGCGAGCGCAGGCTCAGGGATCCTCGACGCCATACGATCAGGAACCAGCTCCGGCGTAGCAGACCTACTGACCGAGGACGTCTGCTGCTTCTCCGGGTTCGGCGTCAACCGCCCCGTGACCGCAGCAGGAACCCCCGGAATCCGCTCCGCCATCCGGTCCGTCACCAAATCGGGCGTCACGGCGCGGAGCTGCTGCTCCGAGGGGGTCTTTGTGCGGGAGGCCATGCTCTCGAAGACGAGCTCGATGTCCGGGGACGTGGAGCGCGAGCGGACTGGGTACTCCGTCGCCGGGGAGGCGCGGAGCAGGCGCGAGGTTGTGGGCTGCGGGTGGAGGATGGTGGGCGTGTCGACCTCGTCGATGCGGGTTATTGGGATCGGGGGAGGGGATGGGCCGGTGCGGATTTTGGAGGGGAGGATTTGTTCGAAGCCTTGTTCGCGGGCTACTTTTTCGATGGACTTGAAGTACTGGGATATTGTGTTAGCCATCCAGATTTCCCTCTTTGGTTTCCTTGGAGTCTTACCTTGACCGTCTTGACTTGCAGCTCGAGCGTCGCATCCTCATCTACGACTATCATGGGGTGAGGGTGCAGCTGCAGACTCGACAGCGTCCACATGTGGTTCACGCCCTGCTCGATACACCTCTGCAGCGCAAGAGCCTTCTTCGCGCCCAAGATGATCGCCACGACCTCGCGCGCCTCAAGCACGGTCTGGACGCCGACGGTGAGGGCTAGGCGCGGGACCTGGTCGACGTCGTTGCCGAAGAAGCGCGAGTTGGCGAGGATGGTGTCGTAGGCGAGCGTCTTGACGCGGGTGCGGGAGGCGAGGGAGGAACCCGGTTCGTTGAAGGCGATGTGGCCGTCCTCGCCGATGCCCGCGAGGAAGAGATCAATGCCACCGACGGCCTTGATTTTGGACTCGTAGGCGACGCACTCTGCTTCGAGGTTTGGGTTTTGGCCGTTGAGGATGTTTACGTTTTGGGGGTGGATGTTTACGTGGGAGAAGAGGTGCTTCCACATGAAGGAGTGGTATGATTCTGGGTGGTCGCGGGGGATGCCGACGTATTCATCCTGGGTTTGTTAGATGAGGCCCATGGAGGTGACATTGTTGTTATGAGATATCCACGTACCATGTTGAAGGTGATGACATTTTCAAAAGAGATCTATGAGTACACATGTTGTCAGTGACAAAGACGCTTGATGATGATGGTAGTTGAGAGACACGGTCCTACCTCTCCAGCCTTGTACTTCTGAACAAGGATCTTGTATACACCGAGAGGACTGCTTCCCGTGGGCAAGCCAAGGACGAAGGGATGCGCCGGGGTAGGGTTGAAGTGCTTGATGCGGTCAACGACGTAGTTGGCTACGTAGGCGCTGGCGGCCTCGGCATCGTCGCGGATAATCAGCCTCATCGTGGGGG